AACCAAGGAGTAACCGAGGATCTGGGATTTGGGGTAACCGAGGATCTGGGATTTGAGGGGATCTGGGACACAAAACATGCCCATATCTTAGGCAACTCCCAGTTACCGAGGATCTGGGACACAAAACATGCCCATAGTTACCGAGGATCTGGGATCTGGGAAAACCAAGGAGTAACCGAGGATCTGGGATTTGGGGTAACCGAGGATCTGGGATTTGAGGGGATCTGGGACACAAAACATGCCCATATCTTAGGCAACTCCCAGTTACCGAGGATCTGGGACACAAAACATGCCCATAGTTACCGAGGATCTGGGATCTGGGAAAACCAAGGAGTAACCGAGGATCTGGGATTTGGGGTAACCGAGGATCTGGGATTTGAGGGGATCTGGGACACAAAACATGCCCATATCTTAGGCAACTCCCAGTTACCGAGGATCTGGGACACAAAACATGCTCATAGTTACCGAGGATCTGGGATTTGGAGTAACCGAGGATCTGGGATTTGGGAAAACCGAGGAGTAACCGAGGATCTGGGACACAAAACATGCCCATAGTTACCGAGGATCTGGGATTTGGGAAAACCGAGGAGTAACCGAGGATCTGGGATTTGGGAAAACCGAGGAGTAACCGAGGATCTGGGATTTGGGGTAACCGAGGATGTGGGATTTGGGGTAACCGAGGATCTGGGATTTGGGCTAACCGAGGATCTGGGTTTTGGGGCAACCGAGGACTTGGGATTTTGACACACACTTCAACTTCAAACATGCCCATTCCTGAGGCAACTCCCAGTTACCGAGGATCTGGGATTTGGGGCAACCAAGGATCTGGGATTTGGGGTAACCGAGGATCTGGGATTTGGGGTAACCGAGGATCTGGGATTTGGGTCAACCGAGGATCTGGGATTTGGGCCAACCGAAGATCTGGGATTTGGGAGCAACCGTAGTTGTCAAAGATCTCTTGAAGAATTAATGTTCTGCAACACTTTGTCTCCAAGATCTCTAGTTTTTCAAATATTGGCATTTATGTTGTTTGAGAACTAGTGCTGCAGAACATTACTTCCCAGTCAGTTACACGACAAGTGACTTAAACGACAAGTAACTTAAACTTTCAAAGTTGGACACCTGTCATGTCAAGAACTTTCTCAATAATCAGCAGCCAGGTTCAGGAACAGGCAGTACTGAACAAGCTAAGTGATTCCCTTAGAAGTCAGTGCCAGAAAATTGGGGTAATAGTTTAAAAGTGAAGCTGTTACTAACCCATCTTTCAATTGGTAGTAAAAGACACAAAATCATAGGACTGGATGGTTTTTCAACACCCATCACTGAAGGTCTCGACACAGAGTAAAGTTGTGTATGTAAATATATGTATGTATACAATATCTAGATTCAATGACGTGGGGCTTCCCAAGGATGACTTGGGACTCATGCGTCTGGACATATTGTATAATCATCCAACCCCTTCTGCAACGCGCTTTGTAAGAATCCCATCTTCTATCTATCTATCTCTCTATCTATCTATCTATCTATCTATTTATCTATCTATCTATCTATCTATCTATCTGTTTGGCTATCTATCTATCTATCTACCTATCTATCTATCTATCTATCTATCTATCTATCCATCTATCTATCTATCTATCTATCTAGCTCCTTTAAAATCTAAAAGTTACATCAAATTTGGGCATTTTCATTGCCAATCTATCTATCTACCTATCTGTCTATCTATCTACCTATCTGTCTCTCTATCAATGTAATACCTTTCTTTCTTTCTATTGATCTATCTTTCAATCTATTTATCTAATATCGTGCTTTCTTCCTTCCTTTCATTCTTCCTTCCTTTATTTTCTTCTTTCTTGCTGTCTATCTATCTATCGTTGTAAATTTCCTCTTGGTTTGGGTTTTGCAAAAAAAACTCAAGTCTGTGAGAACCGATTTCTTTCTTGTGTTTGGGCTTCCAACTTTGGCACTCCCAAGGCAATTTGGACAACTCTTTGCAGTTGAAATCTATATATTTTTGTATGACAGCAATAGGTCCGCAATGTTTCTATGGTTTGACTTCCGTTTGTATGGTTTGTCTTTCTCACTCCCAGGAATTACCCAGCAGTTTTTGGACTACCACCCAAGGTCCCCAGTGCAGCTACAGGTCAATCATTTGAATCACAAGATCTGGCTCAGACTTGTTTTCAAAGCCCGCGCAAATGCAAATGTCAATTGTCAAACATAACTACCTGCAACTTCATTGTCTGGTTGTCCCTCGTGATCACTCCGAACTTGAACTCATCTGGGAACAACGGGGTGATCACCGTCAGCCTTCCCTGAGCCTGGTCTTCGAAAACCCCTGTGCCCAATGCCAATCGCATCCGTTCCGCGAAAGCAGCGTCTGAGCTCAGTGGTGTGATCCTGAAACAAGACTCAAAGTGCATCAATTTTTTGTTGGAACTTAGACTCAAACATCTACAAAGTTTGAATTTAATTTCAACTCAGGCTCGTCTCCAACTGCACATCCTCAGGTTTGAAGGAAGGAAACCACTGGTTCATCTCATCACTGCTCATCAATGGACTCTTCCACATCTTCATGAATGGCTTCTGTGACCGCGACATTGGGTGCGACATTGGGACAGATGACAGGTGACAGGTGACAGATGACAGGTGACAAATGGCCTATATAGATCTTCTCAATGGCTGCGTGGCAAATTCAAATGCAACATCCAAAAGCATTCATAAACAAAACATCCAACATCTCAAACATCCAAAACATCAAATGACAGTGACAAACTTGGCATCGGAATCAAAGCTGCTGGGTCACGTGACCATAATGCATTAACCTAAGTTCAGAGCAGGCCACTGACACAAAACAGATTCAGAATGGTCATGGGAAGGTTGAAACTGCATGAATTTGACTTGTAATTTTCTTCTTGGGGGGGGATGGCACTTTTTTCCCATGAGGGGGATGTTAAATTTAAAAGGGCATCCTCTCTGGGCATTGCTGAGCCAGCTACGTCGCATGAGGATGGCTGATTCTCCTGTGAAGCCATCCTAGCAGTGGCTTGGCCAACAAATATGGTGAAGTGATGGCATCACTGTCTATCATTTTTTGTGGCATTGTGACATGAATTCATAAAAACAAATGCTTTGCTGAAGTAACATTCTGTGGTATCGTTTGGTTTCTTATTGTAAATGCCCACAGCTGCATCCCCTCAGACTGAAATGACAATCACTTCCTTTTTTCCAAATGGTGCGCTGGCCTTGCCCAAAGAAGTCTGCATCACCAATGGCAGGGCCAACATAGCAGGCCAAAAAGCAGGAATCAGGAGATGGCTTTCCTTTTAAACATTTTAGGTTACAGTGAGTGGCTTTCCACTGACATAGAATATAGGTTGGCTGTCAGTGGGACGCACTAGTGGATGACAGGTGACAGGTGAGTTTCTAATGTAACAAGTTGTGGCAGTAAGTGACAGGCGACTTTCCATTAGTATCATGTGGACTAACATTGACTGATGGTTTGCCATTAAGAAGTAGTAGGTGCAAAAGGTAGCAGGTGAAGCAATTACAGGTGATCATTGGAACAGTTTGAAGTGACTTTCCATGATTAAAGTTTTCCTGAAACCATTGTATTTGTTTCAAATGCTGCATCAAAAAGAACTATCAAGAGACTTGTTGAATTTCACAACAAACTATCTTAATGCATCATTTGCCTTCTGGCCAATATAAAATATGACAAGTTGACAGGTAAACCACGTGCTTGACTTTGAGTTTGTGAAGTTCATGCCACATGTTGAAAGTCTGATGTTAAAAAAGGGAGGAAGATGTGTGGGCAAAAAACAGAAGCATGTGTGAATGCAAGTGTGAATTTGCTAGGTTGCGCATACATGTCCATTGTACCGGAAATCAAATTCAATACCTTCATGTCACTTCCTACTTCTTCTTGTGGCTGTTTTGGGGTATGGAGACTTAAAAACATACACATATAAATATATATTTGCATATTCAGCATTGATATCTATATATATATGTATATTTATATTTTCATATAAATATAATATATCATATATATATATTTATATATATTATAAATTATATCATATATATATACATATATATATATATATTTATTTTATATCATGTATATACATATATATTATACATATTTATATTATTATATTTACATAAATATAACTATTTTTCCATATATATATACATATATATATATTTATTTTTTTATATGTATAACTATATATTGTGTGTACTGACAGGGAAACAATAGGTGGTAGGTGACTTGGTATAATACTTGTGTGTGGGGAATGCCAGAACTATTTACGTTGCCATACACATTTGTTAGGTAGTAAGTACATTCAAAAGCCTCTATATTGTAGATATCTTTTGCATAGTCCTTGTGTAGAGCTTACCATCCATGGTAGAAATCTTTACATGGTCCTTGCACAAAGCTTGCCATCTTACCATCCAATCCATGGTAGAGTTCTTTTTTTTTTAACCAGAGTCCTTGCATAGAGCAAATCCATTGTAGAGATCTTTTGCAGAGTCCTAGTGTAGAGCTTACCATCCATGGTAGAAATCTTTACATGGTCCTTGCACAAAGCTTGCCATCTTACCATCCAATCCATGGTAGAGTTTTTTTTTTACCAGAGTCCTTGCATAGAGCAAATCCATTGTAGAGATCTTTTGCAGAATCCTTGCATAGAGCTTTCCATACGTCACTTTAACCTCTGATGGCATTAAATACTTGCACCACTTGAAATGAAGACCCAGTCTGGTATTTGCAAGGGCATCTCGGCTGGAACTTTCCATACGGCTGATAACTTCCTGATGGCCGAAGTAGCACCGTAATAATAGGAGCTTTTGGCATGCCAGGGCCACAGTGAAAGCACCAAATGCAAATGAAATACCCAAATGCCCTGGCACTGGCTTCTAGGTAATTTTGCGATGGCGATCCAGTTGTTTTCCTCCAGCTGGCCCCCAGCTGGCGCTGCTGAACTTGCCAGGACGAGACTATCCGTGTGGCCGTGTTGAGCATCACAGCTGCTGGAACGGGCTTGACCCTGACGGTCAGGGTCTTGGAGATGGACGCAGTTTTGGCCGCACAATCGTGGATGTCCATTGATATGAAGCAATATGTCTCTAAAATTCTTTGAACATATTAATGCTCTACAGATATTTTGTACACATACTTCTACTACACATGTTCATACCCAGAAGATCCATGTATGGTATATATGCTAACATTTGGGGTATATTGATGGTAAATGTTACCATATATAGCAGCACCATGGATCCTATGGGATATGGATATATTGCGATTCAGAAACTTTCCCCGATTCAGAAACTCCGATTCAGAAACTCCAAGGATTCAAGAAACTCCTGGTTGTCCCGATTCAGAAACTCCTGGTTGTCCCTGCCAAGGCGGCACAGACCATTGTCTTCGCGGAATTGTATTGGGTTCCTCCGCTCAGATGGTGGTTCTGAAAGCCACGACAGGATGGATGGGTAGCGAACAGCAAGCAATGACCTGGCAACAGATTTCAGCACGTAGAAAAATATGGGGATGGGTCAAAAGCCTGGTACCTAGTGAACCCCAAAATAGCTGGTAAATGGATGTTCATCCCACTAAAAATGTATCTATAGGTATTGACCCATACCCATATCCATTTATCCATTGAATGATCATAGAAAAACAGTACTAAAAACTGTTGTTCCCATTTGACATGTGAAAAAACTCGATGGCCAGGTTCGACTCCCGTTCGAACGTACTTTTTTCACCATGGGGAAGGATCAACCAGGGTTCTAAACATCGAAAATTTGGGCGCCGAGAGATTGGGGCCCCCCATGAAATGAACATCATAAGCTGAACCACGACGTCGCTATGATTTTCATATATTTTCATGATTGTGGCTTTGGCGCAAATCTCAACTCATGGATACTCGGAAAGTTGGGTGCCCAACCTCATAGCTGGCCATACATCCCAGGTTTAAGGATGGCTATTGCAAGAGACCCCCCTCGATTTAAATGGTTAAACACCACGATTTCCAAGGTGTTTTTGGGTGATTGCTATAATCCTAGAATTCGTTCAAGGGAACATCTACAATAGCCGCTGTAGATTTCTTGCAAATCCATATGAAGTCATTGTTTTAAATGGTTTTAATACGTAGTACGACGTATGTCTTAATCCTCCTTTTCGCTGGCCTAGACTCCTCCATTTCTGTGGCTTAAACCAGGTTCCGGGACAGATCCAGCAAGCAGAGGATCGCGCGCATCGCATTGGACAGCGCGACAGCGTCACGGTGCAGAAAGGGACTGGTTGGGGATCACCATGGGAATCAGCAATTCATTGGAGAATAGGACATCAATATCCAATCAACTGGGTTTATATAACCAAATATATATATATATATATATCCATCATATTTTTAGTTGTTGATTTATATAACCAAAAAAAATATTGATCTGCGTTGCTTCTGTAAAGTTATACTATGTTATACAATAGTATAAATATTATTGGATTTACGCTACGGGATCATATCATAGTTTCCGAACATTTCCATGGAATTTCCACAAACCAAGTTGGAGTGATTGGAAATCATGGGATTTTTTAAGACCAATAGTTTTTGTGTTTTTTGTTGCTGGGAAAGAACTAACATATCCCAGTAATTGATAGATTACATAACTACAACCATGTCTTTCGCTGGGGGGATAACTTCAATGGAGACACAACAGTGAACAGTGGGTAGGAAAAATGAGCAGTTAAGTTGATGAATGTAAGTAGTGCATATGGTATATTAATGTATATGATAGTGGGGAAATATTAGACATCGTGTGGAAACATGGCCATGGAAAAATTGCCATTTACAAGCATGTTGCATGGTGATTCTTGACGTTCATCCCTAGCTTCAACAAGTGAATTCTATAGCATCCCAAGTTGTGATGATTCAAATACAGTACCCTCTGGTAATTTAACATAGCTATTGAAAATGGCCATTTATAGTTGATTTACCCATTGAACATGGTGATTTTCCATGGTTATGTTAGTTTACCAGAGGGTACTACTTTACGAGGACCTTCCATGTTAAAAAAATGTAGGTCAACATCATCAACATCCCAACTTCGGTTGCAGGTGCACTATTTGATTGCCAAGAAAACCTTGGATGAAGTGCTATTCCAGACTCTGGAAAAGAAGACCGTGAGCAGGGGACCACGGCGTTTCAGTCATGGCTGAAGTGATCAGGAAAATGAGATAGACGGGGTTGGAGTCGATAATTCTGGATGTAGGTTTAGAACAGAACCAACTGGTTTTAGAGGAGTCAAGGATGAATTTATAATGACCTTTGGGAGGCATAGGACTGACTGGGTTGGGAATGCACAGATTTTTGCATGACACGAAGGCAGTCCTGTGGTTGGAAACGAATTGTATCAACGAGTCATGATGCGGATTTGGAGACATATCCATTATTGGTGGTATGACAGTGAATGATGTAGTTTAGATTTTCATTTCCACATCTCCATAATTGGCATAATTAGTTTTGATATTCAGGCTCATCCTCATCCTCATCCTCATCCTCATCCTCATCCTCATCATCATCATCATCATAATCATCATCATCAACATCTACATATATCTACATCAACATCTACATCAACATCAACATCTACATCAACATCTACATCTATATAGTCCATATTGATAATGTGGTTCTTTTTCCACAGCTCGTCCTTCAAGAACGCCCCAGCCTCGGCAGATCCATCGCGCGTGTCACGAGGCACCACCAGCATTCTGAATGGCCAGAGTTGTGGTCTCGATGCCTCGTGCCTTTCCAGCGCAGTTTTTCATCATGGGGATATGAGCCTTAAACACATATATGTATAATTATGTACATATACTAATACTATATATATATACTATATATATACTATATATATATATATATATATAGTATATATATAATAATATGTATATATTTGTATATTATGTCTGTATATAAGGGATTTCCCTGCCACGTTTGATTATCAGAGGGTCACAGAAAAACGGAGAATAGATGGGTTTTTTCTGCGCGAAGTCCCAATTTGATTGTCTACTGTAGGGACTTAAGCATGCTCCGTTTTGGGAGAAACCAAGTTTGGTTGGGGACAAAATAGGACAATCATACAGTATCAAAAGGAATGCATGAGATTTGCACGTCAAATCTCAAAATTAAAAAAATCAACAGGGGGTTCAACATTTTACATCACAAAGTGGAAACAACTCATGTGAAAACCCAGCTTTTTGGTTCAAAACTATTCAATGTCACAATACACATTATCCCCTGAAGACGATCCAAACTTGAAGGCGGAGCATAGATGTTGGTCATTCTTAGTATTGACTACCCTAATATTAAACACCCTTTACAGTAAATGGTCCCACATATGTCGTTTCATCCCCTACATCCAACATGGGGGATGGGGATTCTTCACTGGGCCGGTAGCCGGCCAAGGGGGCCACAGGTACAAGGAGGAAAGCTTTGGGTCACTGCCTTGTGGAGGCCACGAGAAATCACAGAATCTCAGGGGAGAGCGGACTTGCCGTGGGATCCAACGGTGTGGTGAGTTCGAACTGTAACCAGGTGTGATACCCTCTGGTAAACTAACAGAACTATGGAAAATCACAATTTTTAATGGGCAAATCAGCTATAAATGGACATTTTCAATAGCAAACTGTTAGTTTACCAGTTGTGATACTTTTTCTGGTGACGTCACAATGAGAAGAATGGAGGGCTTCTCACCGTCACCAACCAGGATCCTGATCTTTTCCTTTTGGGAAGAGGTAGATCATCTGCAGAAGATTTCCATTGCCAGGAGAGTATAGATAGATATAGATAGTGTAGATATGGAAAATAGTGGGGATATACTACTGATATGGTGGATAAATGGGAGATCACTCGTCAAAAATATGATTTTGGGCTTTGGGTGTGTCTGAAAATGGGGTAGACCATGGTAGACCAAGTGGCCATAAAAAATGAGGGAAGACGAGAAGATGATGATGGATAATCAAATTTTTGGGTGCCCTATTCTCAGACAAATCCAGATCACTCTGGCAGGTGTCAGAGATACGGAGGACGGCAGTGCAGCAGCTGGTGATTCTTATGGCTTGCTTCGCCCTCTAAGACGTGAATATGCTGGAATTTGGTGGAAAAAAACGTGATATAGCGGGATTTTCTGGTGATTTTAGAAGGCTACTATTTTCAAACATCTTGATTGAACTTCATAATTTAGAAGGCTTATTAAATCAACATAAGTCACACATAATATATTGGAACTATTTGGAATTGCTATTAAGAGACATCAATCAACATGTGGATATAGTGGAACAATTTGTTGGATAACTGGCAAACTCATGGCGATTGAATGGGTATTGAATCCCCCCCGTACTAAACCAGAGTTTGTAAGGGTAGTTTTTGTGTTTGTTTGGGGAACATATTTATATATCAAACTTGGCCATGGAAACATATGGGTTTGTCTTTAAAATTGTGATACTCCCAAATTCGGTTGATTTATGTCCCATTTGAATGGCAGCTTTGGGATATCCCCACTGCCACAAACCCATATGGAAAATAAAAAAATAACCGGCAAATCATCTACACATGGCCGATCACCTGTGCCATAGTTGACTACCAGGGGGTAAGGAAGCCTCCCAAACACTCAACTGACTCAACTATGATAGGTTGGAGATGGAACAACTTTATATTATCCAGAAGAGTCCAAACACGCCATCTCCATTCTCAGTTCAAGGGAAACCTTCCAAAACTTCATCTTCACCTCCATGATCCGTCCGCGATTGCCGTGGTACCCTTTTGTTATCTTTTGTTGGCCGTGAAAAAAAAACCGGTCGACCTAATCTGATCAGACTGGGTCAGTAACTGGGGCTGGGAGAAACCAGACTTCTGTTCTTATGAAATTATTGGAATTATTGGATTATTGGAATGTCAACTATTGGAATTATTGGAGACCCAGTTGCCCAATGTCAATTATTGAAAAATGGATTGTCGTTGGACCATTGGACCATCAAATAACTCAGCTTTTCCCGGCGACTCTCCGTCAGGAGCCATCCTCGAAACGCCTTCGAAGCGAGTGAGCCGCCGCCCCCTGGGCCAGTGGCTAGTCGATTTGGCGGATGATTTTTTGGCGCGGTGTGGCCGCGGAGGGACAGTGACAGTTGCGGCAAGTTATGGAAGTCTCTTCGTTCTTCGAAACTGGCAGGGTTTTGAGTTTGAATGTAGCAATCTAGTTTTCAATGTTTTGCAAATATACATAAACGCAAAAAACCAAATTGAGCAGGTGAAATGCCCAAAAGTTGCTGCCTTGGCATTTCCATGTTTTGCTTCATGCGGTCTTAGCCAGGAAAGTGCCGATTCTGTCGCTAGTCGGGTCAGTCTCGGGGTGAGACGTGTACAAAGGATCTGAGAGTTAAAAAAAAACTGCAGTTGATATCAGTTGATCATGTTTGCTCCAGATGAATCTTGATACTCCCTATCTTTAGTTTGGTGCGTGTCGCAGATTTCATTATCCCCATGTTGACTGTTCAGTCAAGGATGGTACAACCTTAGTGTAGTTGGCTTTGTTATTTATTCAATTTGTCCGGGTCATGATCCCGTTTTTTGCACTTTGGACCTGCGAAGCTGCAGAAATGGGAAGCCTATTGCCACAATGAGACATGATGAACGACTGGGGGTACATCGATTTTGGGGCATCCCAGTTTGGACAAAAAAAACACCACTATTCGTCGGCGTGTCTTGGGAGAGTGCTGGATTCTCCAGGCTTTAACATAGCACGGCTCCATCATTTCAGCATAGCACCGATCCTCAAAGCAGATTTGCGCCCCGATGGAAATTCGTGAAATCAGGGAAATGAAGATGTACACTCTTTTTTTTGGCTATTGATACTCATATTGTTTGGTTGATTCTAGATATACATATTATACAGAGTTTTCTATTTTTGTGGGTTGTACATGGTTGTAGCATATTACCATCTGGTTATTTAACATAGCCATGGAAAATCACCATTTTTAATAGGTAAACCATCTATAAATGGGCCATCTATACCATGGCTATGTTAAATAACCAAAGGGTAGTTGTAGACTACCAATATAAACATCATATTAGTCGTTAAACCACCAGCTTCACAGATCCGCCGGTGCCAATGGAACCAAATGGCTTCCAGAGGCCCAGCGGTGCAACTGGTAGCGGCTGTTTTTCAGTATGCCGCCTGGTGATTCCCAAATGGTCTATTAAACATTAAACACTATTAATTAATGGGATTAAAAATTGGTTTTAACTGATATAAATTGGTGATATTCCATGAAAATAGTGTTTAATATAAAACCAATTAATGGTGATATTCCATAAAAATGGATGTTAACTGATATAAAACTTGGGATTAGAACTTGGGATGAGAGCTTAGTTTTCCCGCTTTGGGGAACCTATACTATTATAGTTGTTCATACGCAGCAATTCACGTAACCCATCGTAACCCTCTTTGGCTGTTGAGAATCTTTGTAATTTTCCATCCAGCAGGAGAGATGCTCCCTGAAAGGGTGGTTCAACCACCAGTATATCAGTTGAAACGTGGGAATGTTTCAGATAAATATTGTTTGTTCACAACAATACATGAATACATTGTATATCAGTATATGTCTATGAACATATCATGTGTATATATATAAGAGTAAATAAGTGCATAGAATCATATATATATATATATATAAATGTACACAGATGTATGATTGATGTTGCATTTGGTTTTCTTGAGTCACATTCAATCACCCAAATTTGGCATAGTGAGACCCCTATGTTAGTCTGGACTTCTCTCTTAGCACGCGACGGTGCAGGCGGAATTCAGAAGAGGTGCACCCGGGGGCTTTTTCGATGACTTCTCCAATGCCTTTGCTTGCCCTCCCGTAGTCAAAGAAATTTGGCAATGGAAAAACACACACATTTCTTTACCAATGGCCCAGATATACAGACCGGGACAGAACATGTCCCTTATCATTGTCATGTATTAGTGTGAGTACAGCAATAGTAAACCATCTCCAATTTTACCATCAATGGGAGGTATAATTATTATTGGGTAAATTGGCTAGTTTGTGGTTGTATTTACTGTATATATATATATACCATGAAAGCAACATTAAACCATCAAAAATCGGAATATCAACATGCTACTTATGGAAAATACGAATGTTTTAGTAGGTAAATCAAGATAAATCAAGTTTCTGAATGGTCATTTTCCACAGCAGTTCTCTGTTTATCAGAGAATAAACCATCAAACTCTGTGACTGGTTTTTTGACAGTCGCCAGGTGGTCACGATCGCCGGTGTGGGCTCGCTGTTGTCGGAGGCACCTCTCGATAAAAAGGGAAGGGGTGTATGGATTTTGAACTTCACATTAATTGGTGAAATTACAACCAAAATCTGAATTTACTGACAGTATATGGATTTTTAATTATAGGGAAGGGGTGTATTAATTGGTTGTAATGTAATACTACTGTCAGAATTTGAAATCCTACTAAATCCTACTAATTAGTGTGGGGGTGTATGGATTTCAAGTGCTGTCAGATGAATCCCAAGTTTCAGTAAAATAATTTCTCGGCTGTTTGCGGACCTGATGCATTCTGAGCAGATTCTGTCCCCAAATCAGAAGTGTGTAAAAAAAGAACAACATGTAATAAACCAAAGAAACCTTAAGAAACATTTTAAGTTTATCTCAAAAAATTTCATTTGGTTGTAGTTTAGACCCGAGATATTTTCTACTTTTTCAGGAAACAAAAACCATCCCCAGTCATGGTAGGTTTACTGTTGACCCACCAAGGCATCGGCCCGGGAGTCCTTTGAGTTTACCAACTTCCGTGTGGGTCAAGCAGCTTGGTAAACTGGAACGCGGGGACAGTGCCCAGAGGAACGAGTTTTTTCAACGGGGGTGAATTTAAGCCACTGTTTGAAAGGTGGATTCTATAGTTTTCCCTATAAAAATTTGTGGGTTGCCGAAAAATGGCAAAATCTTGCAGATCCAACACTTTGGACATGCCGCACGACCCGGCCAGTTTTAAGTTTTATGTACCCGATTCCGCAATGATAAACACAACTAATGTGGTAAACCCAATGCCATAAACATCATAAACCATCCCCAACAACACCAGAAATGGGTGCTGGAAAAAAAATAATGTATAATCATAGTCCCATGGTAGATTAAATGTATAATCTATTATCTGATTATTATATTGATAATGTGCTAGATGGTATAATTAATCATAATCCCAAATTATTAGATTTATCACATTGGGTCTACATTATAAACATTTATAAACACTGGGGATCTCCCCATCAAGATGCCCCCAACAGACCACCTACCCATCTGGGAAACCCCGCCATGTCGCTGCACCCGAGGTGACGGGCTGGCGTCGATGCTTCTGCCAAGCGAATTGGATCAACGCTGTGTGGGGGAGCCGAAGGGCATGGGGGACCCCAACTTTTCATTCGAGTTGTCATTGGGGATGGGTCAATACCTATAGATACATTACTACAGTGGGATGAACATCCATAAATCCCAGCTATGACTTGGGGTTCACTAGGTACCAGGGTTTTGACCCATCCCCATTTTTGATAGGAACTTCTGGTGGTTTGGGGCTACACCGGCTACACCACGGTACCACCCATTTGAGGAAACATCCACAATGGATAGAAATGGATAGAAATGGTAGGTACCAGTCGGCACACAAATAGCTCCAGTTCAACTAGCCTCTGGTTATGGAAAACATAGCCATGGAAGCCATGGCCCATAGAAATAGATGGTTTACCGTTCTTAAAAATGGGTGGATTTTCCAGGGCAAACTGTGAATGTCATAACCAGATGGTACCGCTTAAAAGATAGCACCTGATAGGTAGTTTGCGAACGTTCGACTTCCTTCGGTTTTTAAAGGGTTAAAATACCAAGTAATACCAAGTATTGACTAGCCAAGCAATTTTCTTAGAGAAATAGTTGTCAACAGTTTGATGATATAGAAAGCATTCGAACACGATCAGTTCACTATCCCCAAACAATAACTGGTTGGTGGTTTGGAACATTTTTTTATTTTTCCATTTCATATATGGGATGTCATCCTTCCCATTGACGAACTCATATATTTTTCAAGATGGTTGGTTGAAACCACCAACCAGATAACTAAACTATTTGATATTATTTGATGCACTACGTGTAACACAAATTTCTTAAGAAAAAAACACCACTGACATGGCCAAATTGGTTTTTGTTTCCATCCCTAGGTCAATGGTCCCTGGTGATCGGTGAATGTCCCCTCCATTTAACGTGAATCATCCCACAAAAAAATGGGTGAAGCAACTATTTTTAGCAAAACCACTAAATGAAATTGACTTATGATGATTCTGAATATTTTCTGGTTAGTTAGTCCCCTAATTAAGTGGGTTGTTCCACTATATTTCACTTATAAATGGCTGAACTAACCCCAGTTATGAAGCGCCAGATGCCGGAGCCAGGTGCGGTGCTAGCTCTGTGGCCACCAACGAGGTCGCAGCGGTGGCGATGGTCCCTCGGGCTCAGCAAAATCATGGGACTACACGAGAGATGGAGGATATGACTAAAGATGGAGGATTCCCAGGAAAAATGGAGCATCAAAGATGGAATTCATCCATGATGCTGACTTGAAGTAAAATAGGGACTAAAACCAGCAAAAGCACACAAAACCATGCAAAACCATAAAGGACGAAGAATGTGAGAGGCAAAGATCAAGGATATCAAGGATATCTGATATCTGGTTGGGAAGAAACAAGAAATGGCTTTAGATCAACAGCGACTGAGGTGGCAGGTCCAACTGGGGAGTTAAGCCACACACAATTCGGGGGTTGGCTCCAATCTGTGCAGGGTCCGAGCAGTAGGGGACATTCCTATGACTGTTGGTCAAGAGGATCCTATTCTTTGTTCACCAGCAGCATGTCAATGACCCCGTTTCCTGGGACTATTCCGGTGTTCATTCCCGATCTCACCATCCTCACATCCTCTCCATGTTGGGTTTGTCTGAAAATCAGCACTCCCAAATTTGATGGTTGAGAATTGAAAACATTTTTGTTTTACATATTTTCCCATTACTTCTCCATTCAAACTGTTTTATCCCCTGGGCCTTAGCCAGGTACCTGCAGAGGAAGATTTTGTGAGCCGATGCCCAAGCTTGCTGTCAGATAGGACAGAATCCAGGCTGTCAAACAGAGAACGGAGAGCCACCAAAGAGACTAAGTAATGGATGCTGATCCTTTGTGCACTCCTTGATTTTGATTTCAATCACCAGGAATACCATCTGGTTATTTAACATAGACATAGCCATGGAAAATCCACCCATTTTTAATAGGTAAACCATCTTTAACTATGGGCCATCTATACCATGGCTATGTTAAATAACCAGAGGGTAACAAAAGATGGTTGGGAGAATTTTTTCTCCAAAAAGTCACCTTTTCGGATTCGAGTGTTGCACGAATGCCTTGGGCGCATGGATGGGCGAGTCTGACAAATCCACCCCTTTTTTGTCAATTGAATCATGGTAAAATATGGTAAACTCATATTACAGATTCAACATTTCCCCCTCTACATGTTTCTATTGGACACGGACACGTCCCATCATATTCGACAATACTCAATGACTTTTTTGTTTCGAAGGGGTTCGTACCATCCCAGCTTCCAGTTCTGTTCCGTAGCAAGTTGTGGTTCAAGTTTCGACCGAGCCCCGCCCTTTCCAGCGACTCGTCTCCGTTACGCCATGTTGGACCTGATCACCATCTTCTCAGCCGCCGGCTTGCAGCAGGAGTTGAAGAGCGCCCATGGGGACAAGAGCCGCTTGGGCTGGGATGGTGGGGGCTCACTTTTTGGCAAATCTGGTAGGAAGCTACAAAATTATAGATCTACATGGAATCCAAGAATTGCAGTTTCAAAACGTTTCAACGATTTCGGCCAAACCCAAGTGTTGGGGTTCCACCTTAGTTTCCAGGGGTACAGCAGTGCAACCTGCGAATGAGAAAGTACAGGGCCAGAGGGTTTCATGGATCAAGTCCTGACCTGAGCAGGGTACAGGAACCCAGTACTGTAACCGGGGACCTTCCTAGCCAAAGGTATAAAGCACTTAAGCATGGATGCTATCCCACTGTCGCTTGAACTTGTTGTTTCGCCGTGAGCGTTCGTTTAATTGTTGAACCTCTAATTTTTGCACGTGATAGACTGTCTTTGTTGGTGTCATGCATGAATATTTGGGATGATGTTCCTTTATCCTATGATGGAGATTGTGCATCACTACATATGTTTGTTGGCAAGACCTTCATTCTTAATCATTTTTCCAGATACCAAGGGCATATATTCAGTCATTGTCCATCATTCATCACTTTCCACACCAAACTTCCCATCTTTCATCATTCATGACTCGTCCCATGGAAATATGGGTATAGGTCAAATCCTATGAAATTACCATTTGGAGAACATCTTCATGAACCCGCACCAGCACCGTCCGGGTACCGTTTGGGTACCGTTTGGTGACCCATAACCAATCTCCGCCAACGAGGCCTGGTGATCCACCCAGAAGATGCGGAGTCCAGTTTCATGGAGTGCGCGGCCAGTCAGATTTCCGTGGCCCTGGACACGGTGCGCCGCTACGCCATGGATGCCGGGATCTGGCGAAACCAAGGTTTTTGCCCCCCATTTCTGGATGGATGTGTACGTAGATCATTTTCCAAACGGGTTTCCCCAGGTGTTTCAACATCTATGTTAGTTTACCCGTGTTTATACATATATATATATATGTATGTATGTTACATATATATATATATTATATGATTTATATACCCCGGCCATAAGCCAAAGTTGAGCAAGGCAAACGTGTGTCAACTTCGCAATTTCGTTTGGGGGGTCCTAACCTTGTACAATCAACCATCGTTTTTCATTCTTAATCATTTTTTTTAGTAACCATTATTCACCCATGATCAATAATCCTTCATGATCATGAAATCCAGATGGTTATAATGATTATTGTGCCAGAATTAACCACAATTAACCATAATTACCCATCATTAACCATCATTAACCATACAATTACCCACAATTAACCATACAATTACCCACATGATTTTGAGATATCCATCCACCTTGATCCATGGATCTCCAGGTGGATGGCGCTGTGGCCTCGAGCTTCGAGGCGATCTTCGGGGCCCAGGAGGCCGAGGCAGTCGCGGCAGTCGCACCGAAGAAGGTGGACTGAGGCGGGAGGATGAGAATGATATATGATATATGGATTCAATATATATATATATATTTATAAATTATATATAGATGACATATATCATACATCATATGTATATAATATATATTTATATTCATATATAATGTACATATATTGGAAGGTTTATGATATTACTCATAGACTATATGTATGTATAGATACTTACACATGTATATGGGGGATGGGACTGGATGGCAATGATGTTTCTGGCAGCGTGGCAAAGGAATCCAAAGGAGAGAAGTTAGCAAAACATATTATTGCAACAGTTGTCATCTACCTGGGGTACCACATTGCACATTGCATCTACACTCTGGATGTAAGAAAACATTGAATCAGGGCAGTACGGGTATGATTAGTATTGCTGCTGCTGCTGATGGTGGAGATGGGAGATGCGGAGAGAAGACATAGTGCATACAGGTCAAGATCTTCAAGTCTGATTGGAAAAGAAAGAAATGAAGCAAATTCAAAAACACAACATTCTTCAACCATGGCTTTCAACCCAATTCGCACCCCAAATTCGCACCTTCATCCCTCAGGCACTGAGACACCTGTGGCAACACCGCTGCCTCCAGCGATTTCACTTGGAGGGGCGGTCCAGGTGTTTTCAGATCACTTGATGAACTTGATCCTCTTTGCTGGTGGAACATGCCGCAACGAATGAAATCAAATACACCCAAAGGATCCAGCTGTATCATCTATCATCATGTTTGGTGCATTTCCTGCCAAGTTTTCCATTTTCCAAACCACTTCCCACATCAAAGTGTGTAAAAGGTTGGAATTCGGCACGTTCCACGAGTTGTGTTGTCCCGTCGCTGTCAGTCTTGCCCTTTGGGGCACCTCTGGCGAACGCCGAAATGGCCATGCGACCTGTGAAAATGGTGTGGCGCGACCAGGGTGTGCATCCCCATTTTCTGGTGCTTCTAAGAAATTCTTATGGACAACCAATGACAACCACATAACTGGGATGATCTTCAAATTTTATCACCAAATATCATTGAAACACATCACATCAATTGATAACAATAGTGAATGGTCCATATAAATTGCCCCGTGCAGAAATGAAGCTTTGCATGCTTCTGCCTTGGGATTCCGTTCTTGGAAGTCTGGCATCATCCAATACTGTGTATATATATATATTACATAAATATATACTGTACAATATAACATCATACTTGGAGTACTGAAGAGCGGCAATGTGGGTGTATCTTTACATAATGGTGTTTTGAATAGACTTAAACCATTGGAAACCTGCAAGTCTTTAGCTAAGAGTCTACTCAGAATCCACTCCAACATCTTAGAAAAATCACATGTAATTAATTATCTTTTTTGGGGACCCCTTGATATAAACATATCATAATACATCTTCATTCTGGTTTCCCAATGGTGGCTTTTTCGGCGGGCAAAACAAGTTTCACGGAGCAGGCCATGTGGCGCTGCTGGATGTGGAGCTGGATGAACTGCCAGGCCGGCGATGTGGACCGTGTGTTGTGATGTGAAGGTTCCGGGTACAGCAGAGGTCATTGGTAATATGAGTGGTATAATATATAGTATACTGTATATTATATATTGGTAATTATATAGTATAATATATTGTTCCAGTTACTGGGTATTAATGGAATATTATATACTGGGTATACGGATAACATGAAATATTGGAATATTTAATATCATGTGGTTAAAACAATGCCATAAGCTATAAATCATCCATGACTGGGAATGGTAAAGATACCACCTATAAAAATATGGTGACATGGGGATGGTTTATTTTTGTTTTAACCACATTAACCAAATTTCTTGGATGTAAATTGCTCCAGAATTTTTGATGCCCCAGAATTGTGATGTGATTTTTTCTTTTCCCAAGACACTAAAAAAGGATAAAAAAGGGCTGAGTTGCATATAGTTGCACTGGTATCGTTTCCTCCGCCAGGCTTTTACGAGCGAGAAACAGGTGGACATCCCTGGGTGGAAATGCTTAGCCTTGGAGTCGGAACAGGAGAACTCCTTTAGTTCAGAATTTCAGAATTTCAAACACAGCTGAGTCATGTCTATGGGAATTGGTGTAGTACCCAATGACCAAGTGGGGTACCTTCAACATCAGGCTATGAACAATGACAACTCAGTATGGCATTTGTGGCACCAAATGCAGGTAGGCTAGGACATGCCGTTGAGGAAGTATGATAATATGATGTTTGGACACTAAGAAAAAGGAGGTGCATTTTCCGGCAGTAGCCAATCGGATTCTTATTGCATTTTGGGAACCCTGGCTGAACAGAAATATACTGACCATATCCAGCTGTATCATCTATGTAACGCACAAAAAAGACTTGAAACGTAATTTATCTCTGTCTCAGTGGGATGTTACTTTCTTTTTTTTAGGGGATGACTGTATATATATATAATATACGTATGTATGTACGTACGTACGTACGTATGTATATATATATATGTATATATATATACATACGTACGTACGTACGTACATACACATACACATACATATACACATACATATATACATACATACACACACACATACATACATACATACATACATACATACGTACGTACATACATACATACATACATACATACATACATACATACATACATATATACATATATACATATATATACATATATACTACATATATACTACATATATAATACATATATAATACATATATAATACATATATAATACATGTATATAATACATGTATATAATACATGTATATAATACATGTATATAATACATGTATATAATACATGTATATAATACATGTATATAATACATATATATATAATACATATATATATAATACATATATATATATATAATACATATATAATACATATATAATACATATATAATACATATATAATACATATATAATACATATATAATACATATATAATACATATATAATACATGTATATAATACATGTATATAATACATGTATATAATACATATATAATACATATATAGTACATATATAATACATATATAATACATATATAATACATATATAGTACATATATAATACATATATAATACATATATAATACATATATAGTACATATATAATACATATATAATACATATATAATACATATATAATACATATATACATATATACACTTATATATAATACATATATAATACATATATACATATATACATATATACATATATACATATATACATATATACACTTATACATATATACATATATACGTATACATATACATATACGTATATATACACATAATATATATATATATATATACACATACATATATATATATATACATATATATATACACATTAATGTACAAATATGGTGATATAAACTGATGTGCATCTTGGAATGTTTTAGGCAGTGGCTGTTTCAGCTTTCCGCCAGGTTATCGCATTGTGAGCGTACCTTTCACGGTGCAAGGTTCAGAGACTCAGAGTGCAGCCAATGTGCTTTGGGAATGGGTCAACAGCCTTCACAATAGCCATAATTGTCCCATATGAAGTGCGGGTGAATGGGACGTAAGATCCAGGAGCAACCTGGAGGAGAGTTCAAGCGTATTTGACCTGTACCTGTGGATATTGAGAGATATTAAAATTGGTGTGCCTGTTTACCCTCTGGTAATTTAACATAGCTATTGAAAATGGCCATTTATAGTGAGTTTTCCCATTAAAAATGGTGATTTTCCATAGTTATGTTAGTTTACCAGAGGGTACATCAGATAAAGATAGATAAAGCTCATTGAATCGCATCCAAACCCTCCGAAATCCCAAGGGGAAGAAAACTCTGAGGAAATTCCTGAGGAACACCTTCGATCGTCTGTCAATTTCCTGTGTGTATAGCATTGTATAGCTACCCGGCTACAAAGGATGCAGCAAAATCATGTAAAAACCTGTAAAATCATTCTAAAATAGCTTCAAATCACGAATTTCATCAGCCATTTTGGAGGCGAAAATCCCACAGAACATCCTTTTCAGCGTAGGTCTGACTCCGGACACCTTGGAGAAGGGTTCAGCCTTGATGTGTGGGGAGGCCCGGCAAAAAAACGCATTGAATGATTTGGCATGGGTAGTATATCTATATCTATCGCTCTCTCTCTCTCTATATATATATATAATAAGTATATAATTTGGAATATCTAAGTGTAATATATATATATAGGATTAATTATTGGAATATAATATGTAGATAAAATTGTATTACGTCTTTATGTATATGCATGTATACATATGTATACATAATTATACATACATGTATGCCATGAGCAGCTGATCACGAATTATTGGTTACGAAGCTGGAAATCAGCGATGTCTAGACGATTTACCTATTGGATATGTGAAATGTTCCAGTGGGACATGAATCGACCTAATTGTACTGATGTGTACTGTAACTGTTGGAGACATGCCAAATTGTAACACATTGTAACCAACAATGGGTCATGGTACATGAGCAACCAAACTGGCGATATGACCCGCGTGGGTCACATCATGGTAGTACAGCTATAGACTTTCTGTTGAACCAGGTCTATTCTTGGCTTATTCGCTTCAAATTTAGGTACAGTAGGATGCCAAGAAAAAGGTAAAACTATATACCTCTACATATAATATCTTTTCATTTGTTTCCCGCGGAACCCCTAAAATAAAGCTATCAACTGTTAGGCGCCGCCTGTGAGGACGACGCGGAGGCCGACAGGCGCCCCACTGGTGGAATGTTATTTCATTTTGGCTCACCACTGGAGAGTTGCCAAGCTATTAGACTATTCATGACTATTTGACTATTCTATGTTGGAAAGTTATGGAAAGTTGTCTTAAATGGAATACAGCCATTCTCCATGGCGAGTTGTTTTTTGTCCGTCTCCCGGTGACTCGATATGAAGAGTCATGCAGCTCTTCCGGGGAAGATCGATTTGGATCCGATCACAACGGTGTTCCCAAGCCACCATTCCTTTAAAACGTCAACACTTGGCTATTGGAGCTTTTGTTGGCTTCGTACCAGCTGGCCAGATTTCGAGAAATCTGTGCACTTACAAGTGGAAATACCATGGGTAGAAACCTGCAATGTCTGGGCTGTCACAACTTGTTCGATGTGTCAGGGGCACAGTCAAGGCTAGCACTCGGCCATTGTGCCGGGTGTTTTGAGACACAAATTCCGGCGATTGAGTGAAAAAAAATATGCACTTTCTGGATAAGAACCATGATGTGGGGGTGTTATTTTTGGGGATCTCCCCAAAATAGGCACTTTTTTAATATGGAAAAATGATGATAAGCCATCAACAACTCGGAACTGTCCCAAGCCGCTGTCCATCTGGAAGGTTGTGGTCTTGGGATGGTCCTATGATGAAGCATTGTGTGGACACAGGCGGGTTTGAGCGGCCACTGACCCATGCTTGATACATAGGCTGAAAACATCCATGAAAACAGGAGCGATGGGGGTCCAAACAGCTTCTTTGATCTTATTTTTAGTTCTTTAATAGGCCTATTAAACCTATTATAAGCCCTACTAGTTGTAGTTAAGTTGCTTTTGTCTAGTTTCATGATGATTGTGATGATCCATTGTGTCGGGATCAGTCGGCCAGATGGTCCCTCGAACATCACCGACATCACTAGAAATGATCGGTAGAATGACTGGTTGGTGCTGACTGGAACCATGGACTTTTATGACTTTCCATATATTGGGAATGTCATCATCCCAACTGACGAAGTCATATTTTTCAGAGGGGTAGGTATACCACCAACCAGCATCTTATTTCTAGTGAAGTACTAATAGCATGCAGGCAATATATTAAGGCAGGCAACGACGCGCCATGTTGGGTTCCCGACACCGTTGGCCGAGCTGCAGCTGTTTTTCAAAACAGGTGATGTTGAAACCATAAGTGGAGGCAACAGCAGAAACCAATTCCCGTCAACATCATGAATCTACCCGGCCTGGTAAACTAACAGTTTGCTATTGAACATGGCCATTTATTTCGTGGATTTACCCATTAGAAATGGTGATTTTCCATACCGTAGCTATGTTAGTTTACCAGAGGGTATATGAATCTATTATGAATCTCACATCATCTTACCATATCTTACCAGACCGTAGCCAGGACAATGACTAACAATGACTATGCATTCAAAAGTCCCAGTGTGAAATCTCCACATCAAAAGTATCCAACAAAAATCTGCCCTGCGGCTCCCATGAGCCATGGAAGTGAAGGAGGAGGTGAAGGAGGAAGGCGGGGACGAACTCGACTAGTGATTAAGTGGCCGGATTCCCCAAGGTATCCAAGCTGCTTGATGGATGATGATAGGGTCGAACTGATTAAGCAAGAGGGATTTTGAACACTGCTCACCGGTAAATTTTCATGATTCAACCATGATCGGAGCATATGGGATAAAAGATGATAAAAGGATAAGGGTAAACACACGTAAAAACTGTCAGACATTGTCAGAGCACATGGTGAAGCACTGCATCCCTCATCTCCTCTCGAGTCGATGGTCTCAATCCACAGGTTGCCAAGGGAGAATGGATGATGAGGATTGGGGCAACTGGATCCTTAGCTCCAAACAGCGACAGTGGCTCTCTGGACATGGTAGTTCCCCCACATCCTGAGTAAAGATCGAGTAGACCTTCAAGGTCCTCACCAAAAGTGCCATTTTTTTTTAAAGGTCCGAAACTGGGATGATTTCGGGTCACCAGGACCGCAGTACATGATGGAAATCCAGGATCAACTGATGAACCCCCAAGGGTTTGCGGGGACCATATTTTTGTTGAACGCAACCAGATCACTTTTTGAACTGGTATGATTTATGATCCTTTACTCTTTTGGCGCCCACCATTGTGGCAAAAATAATCAGGAAGACACGTTTATCTCCACTATGGTTAATGTTTTGGACACCAACGGTGTCCCTCAGACTATAATCATTTAATGTGGTAAAACCCAACAATAACAACATAGTAACCCATTTTGGAGTTTTTTTCCGACAAATAGTTATAACAACTCGTGATTTAATTCTCCAGTTTTGGAGAGTTTGTGCAACCCATTTCTGGCGACCACTTTACGACTTTATTTCAATCGCTAGTCCCTGCAGCCTCTGAAGGAAAGCCGGTGGTACGAAGGACAACAAGGTGCGTTTCGCGGGTGGCACTAAGGTAGAAAATCAAAAAGCAGAAAACACCGAACCGGGGTTATTTTTTTGGAGAAAATAATCATTCCTTACTGGCTTACTGGTGCTAAACATAGAGAATGAGGGAATGGGATGATTGTTAATAGTTATTAATAGATAATTCCCCTATTCCCATAACAATGCACCAGCAAGATGAAGCATCAAATGAAGGGGTACCCTTTTTTCAGACAGACCCATAGGTCTTTTAGATTCTTTTAGTGTACCCCAAATGGAGTCCAGATTGGATTGTGATTTTGGTCGCAATCTTGCAGACTCAATCCGCATGAGAATTCGTGCCTCCATTTTTTTGTGCAAATTCTGATGTTTGAAACTGTTTCATGATTTTCACAGCTCATCCACCAGCCCACCAAGCCGGTCACCAGCTCTCCCAAAACCCAGGTGATTCCACAGCCCCACTTCGATTTCCGGCCTGGTGCCGGCGAGTCCTCGAATTCCTGGCGGCGACGGAAGTCGCCAAACTCCTACGGATGGAAGTCGCAGGGACCATGGAATCAAGGCAAAGGAGACCTGGAATTTGCATGGACTTTGCTGTTTTTTTTGGTGGAATTACATCAATTATATATCAATTATATCTCTAAAATGGCCAGTGTGGTGGGCAAAATGATGAAAAATCTGCGGCCAAATTTGTTGGATTTCCCAATGGATCCACCATCGACGCTTCTGATGTGTCTGGAGAAATTCTTGGGCCTGGTGTTTGAACCGCAGGAAAAAAAGAAACTAAGAAGGACAAGAAGAAGAAGGGCAAGAAGGAGGCAAAGAAACTCCCGAAGCAACAACCGAAAAAGAACGAGAAGGCGAAGAATCAGCCACCCCAGATGCTACGTGCAGCACACGCAGAATACCTCCGGCGGCAGATGGCGATGAATCGGCGGGAGGAAGAGATGGATGAGCAGTTGGAGGTGTTCAACAAGCGGGTGAATCAGCAGCTGCTGGGATTCGTGGATGCGAGATCTTTTTTTTTACCCATTGGTCAATCTGCCAAACATGGACACGGGATGACACGGGTAGATTTTACAACAACAAACAATGAATTTCATTTTTTGGTGAGTCCAAAGTCAGCTAAGAATCTGAGGCAAGAACTCCTCCATAGCTTGGAAAAAGCGGATTTCTCTCCAGAAGATGTGCCTCGGATGCTGCATCAAGCGGTGGCCTTGCATAGCGGACGCCACGAGGAGGTGGTCGTCGAGGAAGAGGGGGCAGAGATGGTCGGGAGGATTCCGGGCTTAGGGATTCGAGTCAGCAGCCCACTTCCTCAGGTGCCGGCTGCGGGTCGATTCGTGTCAACATGGGACATTTCAGATCCGGTGGAGGAGAAACTTAGATCGTTTACGGGGAATTCAACATGATGTGGTTGTCTCAATATATATATATATATATACATATATATGTATAATCTTATATATATATATAATTATATATATACATATGATAGTTGTTAAAACACACTAAAAAAGCGACAGACGATAAGATTCTTATCGTCTGCACTCAACATCCTTCCAGGTTGGTATTGTCACTCTCATTTTGCCATTCGGCTACTTGCATTTGGCTCAAGCACTGTGGCAAAACATCGCTGCCGCCGCTGCTTGAGGGTTCGTCTTAAATCCCCGAATCCGGCTGTGTTAAGGTGATTTAGCTCGTTAACAGCCTCAGCTTATCGTAAGCTGCTTCATAACCTCGCGGTTCCCAAAGCCTGAGCCCCTTTGGTAGTCACAACTCCGCCGCCTGTGGCGTTAACTCCTCAGATAGGCCCATAATCGAGTTGCAGGGGTCTAGAGCTTGTTTATCTCACAGACATGGCAGCTAGACCAATCCAGGTCTTGCCAACTGAAGCCAGAAAAGCACTTTCCAAGGACCGTGTTTTTGCCGGGCCGGGGGTTTTGCTTTTCAGCAACACCGGCCAGATCCAGCAGTTTACCAACCTCGATAATAGGGTGCCCAGTGCTCGCATTCGCTTGTTGAGACTAAGCCTCACATAACCGAATCATCTCAGATCGGTGTGTTTGCATTGGAACGACCTAGCCGAAATTGCTTGTCCCTGAAACATACTAGCAATTCTTCTTGTGCAATTGTCAAAGATCACAATGATCTCAACCAAATTTCAAATCCAAAAGTGAGAAGAACTTGGTAAGGGTATTTTGCCGAGCTCCTTGTGTATCCAAAGGATTGCATTTAGTGAGAACTCAAGTTCACCCAGTGAAAATCATATCCAATCCAAAAGATCTGTTGGAACAGCCTGACATCGATTGTGTGTTTGGATCGAAGTGGTTAGCTACCCTTTGTTTCACCGCAACCGCGTCTCGTTGTTTCCACCGCAAGACTGCAAGGGTTTCACTGCGTTCATGAAAGCGGGGCCCTCTGACTATCGTCGTCGTTCAAGGTCACCAGTGAGGCCTGAAGGGGACGTTGGGGCGCGCCTGAACGAGTTGATTGCAGAAGGGCAGGCAGGTCGATGATTTCAGAGTCGTAGGAAGTCTTGAAGTCCCTCATTCTGACCATCATCGAGTATTATCTTCATCTTCTTGAGTTTGCAATCACAGCTTCGTGAGGTGCGAGAAATTACTTGAGACGTAAGTGGCAGGTGTTGGATATCTACAACGCTGTTAAATTTGCGAACAGACTTCCTCTTAGGAGTGAACCAATCATTCCTGGCACCGAAAGTGATCTTGAGAGCGAGAACGCTGAAAGCGTTTATCCTCCACCATCAGAGGACGAGGAATTGGAGCAGGGAACAGGGGATCCAATTGATCCGAGGGCGGTACCTCCTTGGCGCAGGCCACCGGAGCCAGATCGTCCGCCTCCGAAAAATCTTGAGTCTTCAGCTTCAGCATCATCAACAGCACCGGAACCGATTGCATCTTCTTCAGTAGGAACTTCAAGCGGGTCACACAGCTTCATCTTGCCAAAGGCGACGGGTGGAAGGCCAGTGTTTTCTCGGGCTACAATTTCTGGGGAATCAAATGCAGGTGCAACAGTTTCTGGGGAATCCCATGCAGCAGTTTCTGGGGAATCCCGCACAAGTGCAAAAGCAGTTCATTTGACCACAGCTCCATCAACGCCACCAAAGGTGCCATCAAAAGTTTCGCAAGACTTGCCAAAACCGCCAATCTTGAAACAGAGACCAAAGGTCCGTGCAGGCCACGGGGACGCCGGAAGCAGAAGAGCCAGGAAGCCAGAGAGCCAGAGAGGAAGCCCAAGGGAATGCAGCAGACGGGCTTTTCCTATATATAGGGGCCCCGTTCCCGGCAAGGGGCGCCCGGAGAGAAGCAGAGATTGGAGCCGGAGGGCTGGTTGTCTCTAGTTTGGGTGGCTTTTGGGCTTGCGGGCCCCGGTCCCTGCCAGAGGGCCCCAAGCAGAGGGAAGGCAACGGGGACGCCAGAAGCAGCAGAGCCAGAGAGCCAGAAGCAGCAGAGCCTGAGAGCCAGAGAGCCAGAGTAGTCTCAGGCGAGTGAAGCTTTCCTGTCATGTGGCAAAGCAAGAAGCAGAGCTCAACAGCTCGAAGCACGACCGAGGCCGAGTTAATTGCATGCGCCGGTGCGTTGCTTGGGGAAACCCTAAACTTGCGTTCTCTGATTGAGACTTTAGTCGAAACCAGAGTGCCTGTAATTTTCAAGCAAGGCAATCAAGCCACCATCACTGTGATCCGATCCGGATACCGTGCAAAACTTCGATCAGCAAATCGTGTGCACCGAGTCAACCTGGCCCCAGTACACGAACAGCTCGGGGTGTGTGTGTGTTTGACATGGAATACTGTAACACAGAGCTCCAACTTGCAAATGCACTGACCAAAGTGATTGCCCCGCAAAATTGGTCAGAAGCCTTAGCACAATTGCGCGTCCAGCTTTGAGTTCGAAATTGCGTGACTACGTGTCCGCCAGGAATCGAAGGAGCGAAGCTCCACCAATGTAGGGACATACCAACTTGTACAGTATGAGGGGGGAGTTGTTAAAACACACTAGAAAAGCGACAGACGATAAGATTCTTATCGTCTGCACTCAACATCCTTCCAGGTTGGTATTGTCACTCTCATTTTGCCATTCGGCTACTTACATTTGGCTCAAGCACTGTGGCAAAACATCGCTGCCGCCGCTGCTTGAGGGTTCGTCTTAAATCCCCTAGTCCGGCTGTGTGAGGGTGATTTAGCTATACTTATATATATGATTACATATATAGTTATTTATATATATATATGTGTATACATATATAATTACATATAGATATTGACATTGATATTGATATGTCTTGTGAGTCAAATGGCGTCGATTTTTTTGGGCGGCTCTAGTTTTCGTCACCTTTCTGGCCAAAGCAGTCATCATGTTTCAGGTTCCCACGGCCCATGGGGCCCGTGGCTATCTCCGCCTTCCAGGTTGGAGATCTACCAAGCGACACTGATGACATGACGCTGGAACAACTCGCCAAGCTCAAGCGCACGGACGAAGATGCGGACGCTGGGATGCTCTAAAAATGATGCGCTATGCTGGGCCCTCACCCCGCTTGGTTAAGGTTGATGGTTCAAGTGCACCATGGAGTTTGGGAGGTCTCAAAGTAATGCACCAGGCAATTGTGGATGTATCTCAAAATCCGAGCCGCTCCACTACGAAAGTTGCTGCATCATGCTGTGATATCTTGAAACCATTATATATGTTTGTTCAGAAAGATTCTGAAAGAAACTGGACTAGTAAGATCCTTGACCCAATCGAAATATTGTGAAAGCACGCAGTTTTATTTTGCACCACATTGCAAATCAGTCTCTGAAAAGATCGGACTTTGCCCTTCATCATGGGGGTTTAACCAAACCCCCCAAAGGTGAGCCCCCCAATAATAGATGGTCAATAAGCCTTTATTAGATTTTATTAGTGGTTGTTGGTGGTTAATCAACCCTTAAATAAACCCAAACATCCGTGGGCCGGGTCACTGACCTGGGGGTCAGTTGAGGCGCTTCTAAAGCAGAAGGACACCGTTCGCGCGATGGCGAAGCACACAGTGCACGCCCTGCTTCTTCTTCACCTGGCGCTGCGAATTGCCTGCGGCCGCTGCGAGAAGAAGGTGGCGGTGGTGCCGGGCCCTGTGGGGCGCGGGCCTGCAGGGCAGCTGGCGCTCCCGGCGGCAGCGCCGGTGCTGCTCAACAGGCCTTTAAGTGTGGCTGTGGCGGCCGTCAAGGCTGAAGCCAAGAAGGCCAAGCAGGCAGGGAGGATTCGGTCCCTGTTCTCTTTAATCATTTGCGGAGAAAAGTGAGGTTTTGGGACAAATTTCCGTTCTTGCGAAGGAGGCGAAGGAGGCTGAGCGGGCCGAAAAGAGAGAAAGTGAAAAGTTTGGGAAAGAGGAGCAACAGCTCATTGAGACTTTGACTTGACCCATGAACATGGGAGTCAGACCAGAAATCAGAGGAGGGTGTAGTTCCACTATAACCAGTTTGGCAATCCATCAAGATGGTAGGGTTCAAGACGGTAGCTTTCAAAACACCTCCCCCCCAAAAGTTGGGCAAAGTCACCCCACTTGAGACACCATGATGAACCACCTTTTGGATTGCTAGATGTCCCAATTGTTCTTGGTAATTGCCGACCTTGGGGTTATGTCTCGCATCCCTAAAAACATCAATCCATGGATTCAGGCCGCAGGGTGCCTAGTTTCAAACAAGCCATAGATTGAAGGAAACCATGGAGTCTACAACCAAATCAAGGTTTACCAAACATTAGCCTTCACCAAAGATTTCCAGTATTTTCCACTGATGGCTTCACCATGCTGCACCAAACTCGGAGATTTGGCCCAGGAAGTGATCTATAGAGCCCTGCAGTATGGGCCCAAGGACTTCAGGAGTCTGGCTGAGACGCAGGAAGGCTCCAAGAAATGTTACAATGTGCCCTGGTGAAAAAACACAGCTGGGTGGTTTCAACATGTGCACATTTTGGGCAAAATTGCTTGACACCTCCAAGAAATGTGGATGACAGAAACAGCTGGGTTCAACCCTTTTTGATATTTTATAGCCATATTGGGGATGATGACCCACAGGGACTATATATATATATTATGACTATATAGTTTGCAGGGGTTGAACACACGAAGCAGGAGATGTTGGTTGGCAGAGCAACTTCAAAGATAACACTAGTTACCAATCATGACGAAAACCAAGGATGTGATTTGACCAGCAAAGATGGGGGTGCAGGAAGCAACTAGAGATGGGACGTTTATGGAAAAGATATGACAAGAAGATGGTGATGATGATGACGACGACGACTACAAAACATGATATATACATCTAAACTATGACAAAATATGACAGCAAATGAAAAACTATGACAAACCATGATAAAAACACGATAAACATGACAAACTATGATAATACATATTAACATATGATCAGCTTTGATAAACATCAGTAAAAGATGAGATCCGACCCGCAGAAACGAGAAGAACCACCAGGTTCATCACCAAACCGAGGTCTCCACGGTCTGGAGTGACCTGAATAAAGCAGGCAAGGTGCGTGGAAAAGGAGGCTCCTTCAGCAAGTGGCTGAGGAACCTTCCGATGATTGAGATGGGGGACACTTGGTGCAAGCTGAAGGCTGTTTTTGAGGTGATTTTAAGAGACGCAATAGTTTTGGGCTGCAGGGATTTTGGGAAACATCCATTTATTTGGTGGCGTCAAACATCGCAATCACCTGTCTATTTGTGGGATGACCTTCTCATGAACATATATTAATCATATTTGATCGTATTGAACGAGGTGTTTCGGCATTGGTTCTGATTGATCTCGGAGTCAAGCCTGTTCTTAAAAACCTTCTGCTTGCCAAGCGATTTTTCAACGTTGCCTGAGCCTTCGCCATCCCACTCCCCCCAATCTTGGATGGCATCAGCCGTCGCATTTCCGCTGAGGAGATGTCCCAAACTCCTTGCGGCGCCCTGGTGGAGTACCGTGGCCCCAAGATCCCCAAGAGGGCGAAGCTGACGGCAGCGCCTGCGCTGATGGCGCTGCCCGCGCCGGAACCGCCGGTGCCGCATGGCTTGCGATGTGTGCCTAGAAACCCGGCAGAACTTTGGTGATCTTCTTTTTCCCAGCGGAATACATGGGGATACTGACTGCAGTTGTACAATGTGAAGACTGTTTTGAAGAGTTTTTTTTGTGTTGTGTGGGGTAGGGGGCCTTGAACAATTCCAAGGAAAGCAGGCTGAAGTGAACCAGGAGGCTGAAGTGAAGGAGAGTCCAAAAGGAAAATCCCGTTCGGGAAAGGGCAGTCCAGCGAAGAAGTAGAGATTTTCACCCCGGCTGTGCAACTCAGAGCTTTTGGGCTTAGAGGAAAACTGTGTTCAACAGGTTGCAGCCAGGGAGGACTGCACTCAGAATGGTCGGGTGAATCAATTCTCATGTTCCATGCCATGCTTATATAGACTAGGTTGGTATTTTTGTGATGATGATCCCAAATTGACTAATATATGATTTTCATGAGAGACCAACATTTTCACGGGAGTCAAAACCACCAAGAACCCGCAGTTGTTTGGCAGTTTCAGTAAATTCTTAACAATTTTGAGATTATGATTCTGGTTGACGCATTATTTTTGGAGATTGGTGGCTCAAAGCCCAGATACAGACACTCCGAACTGCATGGTTGCACATTTTCACATCATTGAAACCTTGGTATCAACCTTGGGCCACCTGTTGAGATGGGTCAACGCTCAGTAATAATATGCTGGTTGGTGGTTTGGAACCATGGACTTTTATGACTATCCCATCATATTGGGAATGTCATCATCCCAACTGACGAACTCACTCCATCATTTTTCAGAGGGGTGGTTCACCAAGCAGTATGGCTTTGTCTGGGAAGGGATGCCCAAATGTCCTGTGTTTTGTGGCCATTTTGATGTTGGCCACTAGGCGCTGGTAATCTTATGACATGTTATAAGCCTCTATTTCACTACAAGTAGATATACCTAGATTATATCTAGAATCTAGATATATCTAGATATATAGATATCTAGAGTATATCTATCTATCTATCTATCTATCTATCTATCTATCTATCTATCTATCTATCTATCTATCTATCTATCTATCTATCTATCTATCTATCTATCTATCTATCTATCTATCTATCTATCTATCTATCTATCTATCTATCTATCTATCTATCTATCTATCTATCTATCTCTACATATATATATATATATATCTAGATATATCTACCATACACCCAACAGTTCTTGGCATGTCGATGCCAACTGTCCGACCTCCGACCGCTTCGACTCACATGACTCAGACTACGTGGAACGCTGGATGAAACTTTCCTTGCGACCTTTGTGGCCCATGGAGGTGCTGAAACTGCTGAAACTGATATTAAATACTGCTAGAAACAGATGGTTACTTAAATGTTAATATATGTTAATAATAGATGGTTAATGATGGTTAATAGATGGTTAATATATGTTCACCCAACTAGATGGCTAATAGTTGATGGTTAATAAGAGTTGTTCACCTTCATATTAGGATTGGATTTGTTTGTTGACAACACCAATGGTTGATAAATGTTAAGAACATTAAACGCTGGTACACCATTGATTCCATTGATGGGGTGTTGATACTAGGATGGGTCGAGCACCATGAATTATGTGAATAAATGGATCATTGATGGTTAAACACCCCAAAATTCATATTAATCAACAATTGATGGTTAATACATGTTGATAAGCCCATCCTGATATTAAACACCCCCAAAGGAAACCATGGTCCAGCAGGGATTATCATGGAGTTTCCTCATAATTTGAACCATTTGGGGGGTTAATATTAGGGAAATGGCATTTGTATGGATTTGTTATCCAAGATGGGTTTTAATGATCGAAACATGGGGATATAAGATGATATAACTGTAGAATGATGGTTGATTGATGGTTATAGTATATGGGCTTCTACTATCCAATGTATCTGTGATTATCACAATCCATGCTGGGAAATCTTACTGACCAACCATGGTTCACATGTGGCTGCAACATGATACCTCATGGTTTCCTCTTCTCCAACTCAGACGGTTTGTATCTGCAAATGCCACAATAGTATAATCCCCATAATACCACAATACCCACATTATGATTGGCTTCATGGCCCCTTTGCACCCATGTATCCCCACATTCTTCCATGCATCATCTTGTTCCATCTGTTTCCTTATATCGATGGATTGGTTTAGGGGGAAAATCTACAGGATTCTTTTTCGGAAACCATGGGTCTTTCCCACCAGATATGGGGTTTCCTGTAGATTTTCCCTTAAACCAATCCAGTCATGATGGGAAAACCATGGTGAAAACAGATGATAGTTTTCCAATGATTATAGTTTTCCAACAAATTTGGTGAAAACAGGGGTACCCTCCATTCCAGTGGCTTGGCGGCTGCCACGGCGCCAGGCGCCTTTGTCACTTCTCCCTGTGGAGCCACCTTGGGTCTCCGCGGAGTTCGGGGGCCAAGAGTACGAGATGGCTGGAAACTCATCAGTTGTTCATTGGGGGTTTCCATAGCCATGGGGGTACCCCCAAAATAGATGGTTTATAATGGTCAATCCTACTAAAATGGATGATTTTTGGGGTACTCCTATTTTAGGAAACCACCACTTATTATTTTTTTTCAAAGGAATCATACAGGATGGAACATTTTTCGAAACTATCCCGAGAAGATAGAACAGCAAATCATGCTAGACAACATCATTCCCCGAAAAGACAAGTCCTCATTTGTTGATGTGGTCCGTATAAGCTGATATTGCTGTATATGGTGATATTTTATGGGATATAGTCGGATATATAACCAACAATCCGATGTTTTGTTGTGTCTGAATATGGGATATGTATATGTATATACGTATATATATATATATTATATATATATACTAGTAGCGTATACCCACAGTATTTCCCACTTGTAATGGGGACAATTGTGTTTTCCATCATCAATTTTTGGGGTAGCCTATTTCTAGCCAAATATCGCTTGGTTTTAATGGAACGTAGAATCATCCTGTGGTATTCGCCATGTATTTTTGAACCGATCTGTTGCATTATAATTCCCAGTGTTTTTGTTTGGTATGATGTATAGTTATCTCATGTTATCTTCAAATAGATATATATAAATAGTAACATGTAGTAAAACAAAATCCATCCAAAATACATGGAACATCCATGAACATCCACTAAAACTTGTGGTAAGATCCACATCTATTTGGGGATGACTATGTCCAAGAAAAAGCATCGAAGCCATGTGGTGCTACATGTTTCAGGACCCCAGAAGCTGTAGCGATCCCTGGCTGAGTTTCAACGATGTCAAACGACGCCGTAAGTCTAAGTGGTGATGGAAGAATCAGAAAAGTACGAGTTATCATGGAAATCATCAAAAAATACAGTACAGCCAAATTACAAGCTCCTTGACAGCTGAGAAAATCAGGGATTTGAACTGCTTGGGCATTCCTTGGGCACTTGTTGTGTAGCCCTTGCATGACATGCTACAGATCGTGGGCTTCGAGTAGTGTGCCAGTAGAATCTTGATAATTATCCGGACCCCGCCAGAATGGGTTTGGAAATATGTTTGGAATGATTTGGAAGCCCACTTTCCATGCTCGATTCGTTGAGTTTGTCAAACAATTGGATCCCCGAGAAACACCGCCCAGGGCGGTTCAGAAGAGTTTGGTGACTTTGGACGAGATGGACCTGCCAAGAGGAGCTTCCCACAGCAACAGAAATGGAGGTTTACTAACTCATATTGCTACCCCAAAGCATGGGTTTTCCCATTGATAATCACCTACAACAAGTTGGATGATGAACATGGGGTAGCCCCATGACTTAGGAAACCTCCACATAATTGCAAGTGGAAAGACCTGGAAGAATGATTCAGAATGATTCAGATTTTGCAGTGGGCAACTGAAGCTTCCATGTTGGCATTTGCTTTCCCTTTTGATACTGGCTTCCCACCTATCCTTCACGTCAATACTGTGAATGCATGTGAACAGTGTCCAAAGTGCGTTGGGATTGAGCCAACACTGTTAGACCACTCTCTGGCTCGCAAATTGGTAGCTAGATAGCATTTATTTTTTGTTATCTAAAGACAAGGTCTAACGGTGTGCTTAGTAACCCCACAGTGAAACGTTGTGAAGGGAGGTCAGGGTGCACATGCATATATATAATATAATATAATATAATATGTAGTAACGCCCAAATAGATAGAAAAACAGTTTATCAGTATTTATCAGTAACCGAAGAGGAATTCGTTTCCTATCCTCCTTTGGGGTTGCTATGTACAATAATGCAAAATATAATATATAGATATAATATGGAATCATATGGAATAATATGATATACCATCTGGGTATGACTAACAGTTCGCCATGGAAAATCCACCCGTTTTTAAGTTCGGTAAACCAACTATTTCTATGGGCCATCTATACCATGGCAAACTGTTAAATAACCATAGGGTATATATATAAAATATTTGGAATAATAATAATAATAATATATATATATATATATATAATATGGAATAATATATTTCATCATATGGAATATGATAAATAGAATTAAATAACAATAATAAGAATAAAACAATAATAATAACAGTAATAAAAATAATAATGAAAATAATAAAAAAATGATAATAACAATAATATATATATATATATGATATTCCAAACGATAGAAAATCCACAAAGTGACTGGGTACTCCAGTCGATCCAGGACTAGTTCCCGATCACGGCCTCTACCCGGCAGCTTGGACGGTTCAGAAGAACCACCGGTTGCGGCCATTTAAAGGATATCAGGTAGATTCCACCAAGAAAAATGGGAATTCAATATATATATATGATTTACTCGCAATTTAATGTTGCGTCCTGATTAGTGTGTGGCCCCCCCCCCAAACTATTTCTGGACTCTCTTTAAAGTAGAAAGTCAAAAATTTTCTTCCCAAAAGAAAAACATATCCTCAATTAAGTAAGGATTTCAATTGGCTACAATTGAAATCTAATTACTATTGTTTTTTTTGCCGATGAAGTTGTGGTATTTGTAGTACTTGTAGTACTTGTAGTACTTGTAGTACTTGTAGTACTTGTAGTACATGTAGTACTTGTAGTACTTGTAGTACATGTAGTACTTGTAGTACAGGTAGTACTTGTAGTACATGTAGTACTTGTAGTACTTGTAGTACTTGTAGTACTTGTAGTACTTGTAGTACTTGTAGTACTTGTAGTACTTGTAGTACATGTAGTACTTGTAGTACTTGTAGTACTTGCAGTACTTGTAGTACTTGTAGTACTTGTAGTACTTGTAGTACATGTAGTACTTGTAGTACTTGTAGTACATGTAGTACTTGTAGTACATGTAGTACTTGTAGTACTTGTAGTACATGTAGTACTTGTAGTACTTGTAGTACTTGTAGTACTTGTAGTACTTGTAGTACTTGTAGTACTTGTAGTACTTGTAGTACTTGTAGTACTTGTAGTACATGTAGTACTTGTAGTACTTGTAGTACTTGTAGTACTTGTAGTACTTGTAGTACTTGTAGTACTTGTAGTACATGTAGTACTTGTAGTACTTGTAGTACTTGTAGTACTTGTAGTAATTGTTAGTACTTGTAGTACTTGTAGTACTTGTAGTACTTGTAGTACTTGTAGTACTTGTAGTACTTGTAGTACTTGTAGTACTTGTAGTACATGTAGTACTTGTAGTACTTGTAATTAGTACTTGTAGTACTTGTAGTACTTGTAGTATTTGTAGTACTTGTAGTACTTGTAGTACTTGTAGTACCTGTAGTACTTCTAGTACATGTAGTACTTGTAGTACTTGTAGTGCTTGTAGTACTTGTAGTACTTGTAGTACTTTTAGTACTTGTAGTACTTGTAGTACTTGTAGTACGTGTAGTACTTGTAGTACTTGTAGTACTTGTAGTACTTGTAGTGCTTGTAGTATTTGTAGTACTTGTGGTACTTGTAGTTTGGAAAGGCTTGCAGTTTGAATTTGGCAATTTTGGAAATGGCTTGCTTCCCTTCTGCAGGGGCTGCTCTGGCACAGCTTGCTGCAATAGTGAACCCAGCAAACAAACCTACTAAAGTGAAATGGGGCCTCTACTGGTCCAGGGCCTTGGAAAATTGTGGGAAAGCTGTTCTTTAATAAGGGTTTAATAAGGGATTGGTTCTTTGGGAAAGGCTTGCAGTTTGAATTTGGCAATTTTGGAAATGGCTTGCTTCCCTTCTTCAGGGGCTGCTCTGGCACAGCTTGCTGCAATAGTGAACCCAGCAAACAAACCTACTAAAGTGAAATGGGGCCTCTACTGGTCCAGGGCCTTGGAAATTGTGGGAAAGCTGTTCTTTAATAAGGGTTTAATAAGGGATTGGTTCTTTTGGGAAAGGCTTGCAGTTTGAATTTGGCAATTTTGGAAATGGCTTGCTTCCCTTCTTCAGGGGCTGCTCTGGCACAGCTTGCTGCAATAGTGAACCCAGCAAACAAACCTACTAAAGTGAAATGGGGCCTCTACTGGTCCAGGGCCTTGGAAAATTGTGGAAAGCTGTTCTTTAATAAGGGTTGAATAAGGGATTGGTTCTTTTGGGAAAGGCTTGCAGTTTGAATTTGGCAATTTTGGAAATGGCTTGCTTCCCTTCTTCAGGAGCTGCTCTGGCACAGCTTGCTGCAATAGTGAACCCAGCAAACAAACCTACTCAGATAGAGATGCATTTACAGGCTCAGATAGGGAGATGAGCAAAAAATTGACTGAGCTACAGCGTTTTTGAGAAAAAATGCCTCTCAGCAATTACAGTTTTTTTTGCAAAAAAAAGGGCTCTCCCAATTTTGTTTTGCCACAAAAGCGAACCCTCCAAACAATACATGAGTTTCAGAATAATTTGGAAAAATTTGCCACAATAGCGACCCTAGGTACTAATCAGGACTCAACATTAATGGGATTGAAGTGACTTGAAGTAACTTAACTAGAATTTTATTGTATCTAATCATGAATCTAATCCCTTCGCTCATTCATCTTGAACAACACCCAGAAACCATGCTTTGAACATCTTTAACATGGGATTTTTACAACATGTAATGTTTTTTTTCTCATATTTTAACGGGGGAAAGAGATTATGGTGCAACTGAGGTTTCCGTGAGACACTCACCAGGGGCCATCCTTTGGGGTTTCAAATTCTCCCTGTCCGTCCGAGGCACCAGGCTATCTTCGGGATTGCGCCGCGAGCCCCAAAAAAAACACAACTGGGATGCAGACCCCACCGTTGAGCAACTGGCATTGATGTGGCATTGATAGAAGCCTCTAGTAAATGAACATAGACCCTGCCAGATGGGTTAGAAGATTAGTTTCCACAGAAATGACAGAAATTGGTGATTTTCAGGGTCTATGTTACCAGAAGGTAAGTAGGAAGATTGGTACGGGATGAATAATTTAATTAGATGAAATGAATGATAGTCAAGTAGCACTTTAGATGAAAGATTTCAGGTAGTAAGAAATGAGTGTAACCAAAAACATATGGCCACAATGATTTAAGCTGATGTGAACGACTAGTTAGTCTTGGGCTGTGACTAGTCTATATAGCTTCCACATTTTTTGATTTTACAGTGAGGGAAAATGCTACCAGGTGACCAACATTTTCGCAAGTGCTACTATTCCACACAAACACCACCATGGATCTCGAAAATGTTACCTGGACCATGGACGTATAATGATGTATAATGATTGATGATGATTGATGCACATATATATATAATATATAATATATATTATATATATATTATATATATATTATATATATTATATATTATATATATTATATATTATATATATATTATATATATTATATATATATTATATATATTATATATTATATATATATTATATATATATATATATATTATATAATATATATTATATATTATATATTAAATATATATATTATTATTTATTATATATATTATATTATATATTATGTATTATACATATATTATATTATAATATATATATACATTATATTATATATATTATATATTATATATATATAATTTTCCCATTGACACGGGCGTACTTCCCCAAAGGACCTGTCTGACGTTCAACGATAAAACACAACCATTGTGGTTGTATCCGAAGTTTGGTGATTTTTGATAACTCTGCAGCTGACAAACATCGATCAAAGACCAAGTTTTCTGCTGAAAAATCTCCATGTCTGGGTAATGTTACCATCTGGTTATGACTAACAGTTCGCCATGGAAAGATCCACCCGTTTTTAATAGGTAAACCCAGGTAAACCATCTATTTCTATGGGCCATGTCTTCCATGGCTATGTTAGTCATAACCAGAGGGTAAGTCCCCACCAGGACTTTTACCATGTCAACCAACCAACTCGGTGAGCTGGTGCCCTCCGAGGCGGTGGCGCATGCTGCCGTGGGGTCGGGGCCTTAATAGTTGGGGGCGAAGCCGTGGCGCAGGCTGAACAGCCGATATTTTGTTTGGATGATGGTTAAAATATGTTAAAATGGTGGTTCAAAGGGTCAGAATCATCAGAATACAACTGTAAAACAGGTGGTCTACAGATCTCAACATCAGTTGTTCCGTGCATTTGTGTGATCACCAGTTGCAACCGCAGGCGTGAAAGTTTTTATCTCGACATGGAAATTGTATGATGACTATTTGCTGGATGTTCTTTCAAAGTATAGCAAGTAGTTCATAGGTCTTGGTCGCTGCGGGGGTGATGTGCCAATAAATGCCCGAGACTAATCCAAACTATCCCAAAGTAAATCATGAACGCAGAGATCTTCCATATCTTTCGGAGACCCAAGATTCAAAGTAGAATTTACCAATGCTTTTACGCTGCAAAGGCTGGCCGATTTTCTGAAGTCTGTAGCCGTTTCCAGCAAATTCAAGGATTTCAGAGGGCTGGATGTTGGACTTGAGGGTCCACAACCCGACTTCTTCAATTCTGAAAAAATGGGCGAATCCCAGTCAGCATCAGGAACTTTTTCAGAAAATATACCAAGTTTGTCTTTTCAGAAAATGGTTTGTCCCGATTTGTGACGAGGTCGCCAGATTTGTTGCCAAATGGATGCCTTGTGAAGTGAGGCTACTAGACCACTTCTTGGACACAACTCTCTTGGCAGATCGAAGGAGAGCTGGGTTTTTCCCAGGGTTTCCCAGAAAGAACCCGGGAGAAGAAGCGATAAAACTGACATGTCGTAAATATGAGAGATTGATATTCTTACTAGCTACAAATGACAGCATTATAATATACCATAATATACTACTATAATATACTATAATATCCTATTCTGAATGAATCTGAGAAGAATATTACTGAATACTGATTACTAATTACGAATGTCATAAACCCAAAGTAAACCATGTACCAACTTCACCAGGAATGATTGCCACCTAAAATTGGATATTGGGCTTACCACACTAGCAATTTTCCTCCACTTCGGAGATCTGGGTTTCTTCCAGTTCCAGGACGACTTTACGCAGCTACCTGTCTGCGAACCTTGGGCTCTCGGCCTATGTGGGAGTAGGGGAAGCCACCGATGCCAGGCGCGCTGTTGTTCATTACCATGACGGGGTTTGTCTGAAAATTTGGCATGCGCAAACCTATCAAAACATGTGCACATGGCTATTAAAAAGCTATTTTGGAAGGGACATTTATGATGAACCATCAAGTTCTTGGGTAAGCTAGTTTGAGAGAAACCAGAAACACATGTTTGGAACAATGGTTTCAAAGAATCAAAGCACGATTCTAGTGATCTCGGAACGCATGGAATGACACACATAGATAGAAATACCTCCAGAGTCTTCTCCTTTTTGCTGCTCAAAGTCTGACTTTTTGTTTCCGAGGTCCTCCACAATTTGGTGACTAAATTCTTCCTGACATCCCTGATTCATCCTGATTTCTGTTGGCGACCTCCGTGTTTTGCTACATAGATCCACAATGATCCACATACTTGTTGGTCGAAACATTTTGAAACAACAATGCCTCTTGGTTCCCATATTTCTGTTGGAACTTCTCGTTTTTTTCTGAGTGAAATCCGTGTTTTCCATCGCTCCAATCTGATTTTCTGGTTGAATTCATCTCTCTGTCGCTTCAGGTCCAGCGAAGCAGCCTTTCAGATGGCTCGCAGGCGACCTGATTTCACTATGACATGGTTGTGGGAATATCATCCCCAAAATGGCAAAGGATGGCAAAGGTATTTGTTTGCAATGAGGATTAATATGGAATTAATATGGATTAATGGTTCATATCCTATGTTTTTCCCGATAAGATCCTCCATCTACTTTCGTCTGTGAGCTATGCGTCAGACCGTGGTAAGCTAAAATTTTGTCTGAACGAGGATATGTTCGCAAGGCTTGTGGAATAGTGTGGCAAATCCTGATTCAAGAAACAGTAAGCCGTTTGGCTTGGGCTTGCCATAGAAAATTGTATCTTTTGGATTCTTTTGGACTGGACATTCCCAGATGATCTTCGAAAAGCACCTGCTGATTCTCAAATCACCATTGTGACAAGCCAACTTTCAATGTTCAATGCTAAGTGCCACATGTGCTAGGGTCAAAATCAAAACATGGTATATGCTATCTGGCCATCGATCCATATCCATTATGGGTATATAAGATTATAATTAGAATATATATACATTTATATATACATTTATATATAATATATATAAGTCTCTATTAGAGTGGATTGATCATCATGCCCCACTAATTTTTGTGGATCAGTGCCAGGCCCTAGCGACTTATGGACCTTCCAAAAGGTCACGCGTGACCTTCCAGCGCTACCTTGGACATCCTTGGACCGGTCGGGGTTCTCATGGGGATCATCCGCGGTCATCCATGGCTTGGATCATGACTTTAGGGCTACCCTCTGGTTATGTCAATATAGCTATTGAAAATGGCCATTTATAGTGAATTTTCCCATTAAACATGGTGATTTTCCGTAGCTATGTTAGTTTACCAGAGGGTACCACTTGAAAGGAAAGCTCCAGATAAAAAAAAGCAGCAAGTTTTGACACCAATGATCATCAAACATATGCTTCGTTGGTTCGTTCCTTGTTTACTAAGGTCCAATGATTGCGATAATTGCTCCAAAAATCCCATAGTTTTCTTGCTTCTCATGATTTTTACATACGATAAACCGTTTATGATCTTGGATATTGTTGTGAGATTTGATATCAGAATCATCAAAGTCATCATATTTATCATATCTCATAACATTAATATCATATGTGAGAATTGATAAACATGATGATCATATGATCATGAATATCATGATAAACATGATGATATCTCATCATTGCTGTTGCCATTGGGAATTTCTTGGCCTTGAGGATGGCACAGCCCGAGCAGCAGGAGAGATCGCAGTCGCAGAGGCTGTACCAATTGGGGAGATTCATATGATTCATAAAAAACATCTGTGCTTTGGGTGTTTGAAGCGATGTTGCTGTTACTTGAAGATACTTTAGGATACTTTAAGTATGTTTAAGTTAGTTTCTCACTACTGAACTTATCGAATTAATCACTTTCTACTTGAATTCGTTGGTTATCTGCATTCTTGCCTTGGACGGACGCAACCACCCAGAGATATGGACGCATACTACTCTTTACTGGGGTTCTACATGACTGGAGTATGTTGGGTTTGAGACTGGTTGATAGATACAGTAATTCTAAGCCACAACTGGTGAGTGGCCACATGAGCAATGCCCAAAAGTCCTTGCGGTTGATGGTTAAATAGATCTATGGAGTCTTTATGTAAACGTATACTGACCAGTCTGAGTTGAATCGGAATTGCGGACAAATCCCAGAACTGTTGCGATCAACTGACCGATTTGGGGATGACATCGGATGCTCATTGCAGGCTTTGGAACCACCCTTTTCATTGCTTCGTTCCCTTGGTGCTCCTGTAAACGGACGTCTTCGTGCAGCAGGCGAAACAGACGCGATGATGAAAACCGATGGAGCCATCCGAAAGGGTCATTGATATGGGGAGTGATCATTGGCCATCAGTAGTCCAATCTTTGCGGGTTCACCGGGCCACCAGGAATCCAAGCCCTTCAGCGGAAACCACAGAGATCTGCGCTGAAGTGATCCTCATCTTTCATCAACTCGCTGGTGCGTCTAGGCCTAGGCATTCTGAGCACATCCAGGGCCCAGGATGCAGCAGTTTGATACAAGGCTTGTAGCTGGAAATGGTTGTTTTCCATGTTTTCCTCCAGTTGACCATGTTGACCATTGGTGGAATCCAAACAACTTTGGAATCTACCAAAATTCACCGGGATCAAACTGGGCTAACCTGGTGGCAGCTCGGACATCATTCACCGATTAGTGGTTTCAGTCGCGGCTGTATTTTCTGCCCAACCACTGGTATCATGGGCAACACTGGGGATATCCGGGGATATCCGGGGATGTTCTTGTTGAATTCAAACATTTCTCTGTTTTCATATGTGTCTCATTTGGGATGATAGTTCCACTTGGCTATATGACATTGTTGTGTTGTTTGGCATGGCCCGATCGTGGAGCAAATTGAGGTATGAACATTGCATTTGCAGCTCAAAATGAACGGTTGCTCACACGTCCAACTGTGTTTGACAGACTCCAAACATCGCTGGACACTGTCAGTTTCCGGTAGCAACATGTAGCAACCAAACACAAGATATATAATTGTTTGCAGTTGTAACCTCCTTTGTTTGCCTGATTTTTGCCATTTCTTCCCTTGCGAACTCTGTGGATACCTGTGGCGAATCTGTCCGCGGCTGGCTCAAAAGGCTTACATGGAATTGACACGCTCAAGATGGTTTAATTGTTTAAGATTACTTACTCCATATCAAAGTGCCTTTGACCAACCAGGTAGCCACACCGCGTGCAAAAGCTTCACTCTTTAATCATATTTTGAACCACTTGTCTTTGGCAAAGCAAGCGTATCTTGAGCAGTTTGGCCTGCTTGGCGGCAATTTCAACTCGGATGTCTTTGACCCCCCGACTGCAACATCACATCAGATGAAATCTCCCCTGGGACCTCATAGAGGAGCAACAACCATTATTTCTGTTGACATCTTCATACTTGCAGACTGCGAAAGTGCTTCTGCGGGGAATAGAGGCGGGCTGCAATTTTGGTCTTTTCATGAAGGTGGCAATTGGAAATCCCCGAACTAAATGGATATTCAAATGGGAATTTCATGGAACTACATGGGGGATTTGCCAGCAAGCCATGTTTGATTTGCAGAGGGTATCAACAGGACAAGCTGAGCGGTCGTACAGAAAGTCTGGCAAGGCCGACGCCACTGCGCATGGCTGCAGTGGCCGTGGCCAGACATGATAGCTACGACGAGGCAGGGGTGTGAGGTGTGTATATTTTCCTATTTTTCCTGTGAGACTGGGTAACTACAACATACTACAACCCTGGGTTGGCTTAAGGTGGTCTTCATTTTCCTAGTGGGAAGTTGGGGAATCTATAGGGAATATGTTTAATGGGAATATGTCTTACGGGAGGTTCCTGGATTCCAAGCAACGAAACGGCATGACATGGCCCAATTTGGTGGAAAGACGCTGATGACCAGTATGAGGAGGCTTTTTTTTCTGGCTCAAATGACGTTATCATGTAGTTACGCTCTGGAAAATCAAACATGGCAATGGGAAATCATGGGAAATCCCCTACAAATGGAGGTTTTCATGGAAGATCATCAATGGAAGATTTTCCAGCACGCCACGTTTGAGTACCGGAGGGGTATATTCCACTCCATTCTCAATACGCCCCATTCGCATGGTGAATCCACCATTTTTCCAGTGTGAATCCACCATTTTTTGGTTCAGAAACTCCAAGGCTGTTGCCCCAGAGGGCAGCGAGGAGCCTGGTGAGGCGGCGATGTTGCGATGTTGATGATCCCCAAATATATGAAATTCTAGGATAAAATGATGATATGGTGATTATATAGTGATTATATGGTGATTATAATCATGATCACCTATGACTTACCATTTTGTGGGGGGGTCCAAAAGCCATGAGGATACCTCCAAATCATCCAAGTTATGGATGACCATGACTTAGTACTGTTTCCAAACCACGGGTTTAGGAGGTTTGGGGGGGGTACCACTGTCTTGAGAACCCCCCAAATGAATGGTTGTCGAATCTGATTGATGATGATCCTTGAATCTTCCTAGGGTTTCCTAATTCATGGGGGATCTCCAAATCATAGGTTTCAATACTAAACTGTTTTCATGAATGTGGTATTGATATTGGTGAAGCAATTTGCTAAACCGTTCCCAAGTCATGACCTACATTGTACCGGTGCTACTTGTAGCATCAACATATGGGTGGTCTATCATTGCTTTACTAACATTAATGGTTGTTGATGATCATGGTTATTGTCGATGCTTCTTGATGGTTATTGATGGCTGTTTTTCGGATTCTTGATGATAAAAAGGTGACTATTGAGTTGATTTTTCCTGATGCTCATTGATGGTATAATTGATACTGTTTTGTTTTCTTTACCTCGGGATATTTCAATAGGATGATGCCAGGATGATTTCGTCCATCAACTTCAAGTCAGCGGTTTCATTTCAAGGGCTTCGATGGATAGCAAGCCGCAAAAAAAGGGTCCCCAAGATAAATGGTTGTTTTTTCTAAAATGGTTGTACCCCAAGATATCCCGAAATGGATGGTTTCGAATGGACACCTCTTAGAATAGATGATTTGGGGTAGCCCTATATTTTCGGGAACCTCCATTTTTGTTTTTTTCCTGTCGAGAAATTGCTACCGGGATGATGATCCATATGGGAATCCCAGAGTCTCAGGAAGAAAAAGCTTACTATTTGGACGATGAGGAGCGTGGCTTGGGGCGTGATGGTAAAACATCCTTTGTTTTGCAGGGACCCCATTCTCCATACTAATGCTACTATCTGTAGACTGTATGCCTTTATGATCCTATATTTGTAATATATGATGAAGCATGTATATATATATATATGTAAACGCTAGTCATAGTATATATATATATATTATATATATATATATATATTATACAGTAGTGTGTAATACACGCACATGTTTCATCGAATCACCATGACGAAGGAGCCCTTGGAGCCCTTGAGTCGTGACAGACAGGATGACAAAGTCTCACAGAGGCGCGGATGCTGAGCTCTTTCCATGGCAATTACCCTCTGGTAATTTAACATAGCTATTGAAAATGGACATTTATAGTGGATTTTCCCATCAAAAATGGTGATTTTCCATTGCTATGTTAGTTTACCAGAGGGTAACATAGCTATTGAAAATGGCCCTTATTTTCGTGAAAATTCCCATGAATAGCATGGTGATTTTCCATAGTTATGTGACAGTTTACCAGAGGGTAATGGTGATTTCATGGTACTATGATGGTCATTATTGGTAAATAATAGTGGTAATTATCACTAATGATCATTAATGGTATGGTATGGCAATTAATAGTGGTCATTATCATTTGTGATTAATGATGGAATGATTAATGGTGATTAGTGCAATGATCAATACCCTCTGGTAAATTAACATAGACTCTGAAAACACCCAATAACTTTAGTGGAAACTAGTCTTTCAACCCCTGTCTGCCAGGGTCTATGTTAATTTACTGGAGAGTATATGATTTATGGTGACGATTCATGGTGATTAATGAAGGGTGGAATCCCAGGATTGCTTTGGATACTTGTGGGATGTTTTTTTATGGGTCATTTTAGCTTCATATTTACCCTTTATTTACCCCCCTT